CCCTACAACGAAAACTCACGACTACTTCATTTTGCAGTGGATGACACTCGTAAGTAATACCACAGAGGAAATAATGTAATACTTTAGTGTCAAATTTGTCCAATTTCGAGAGACCCTAGTGCAAACGAGCATATTGTTGAACGTGGGCATTGAGGTAGTAGTAAATATTGTCTCCGCAATTGGTCAAGTTGTCGTTGAAGACAACGCGCGCAGTTAGCACCGGAGGTGGTCGAGGCACTATCAACTCCACACCACCAACACCACAACATCTATCACTTGAAGTGGTGTAGATCCTATGCAGTCGAACATTGTGGCAAGCTTGTCTGGATCATTTGTTCAAAATTAATTATATCAATGTTCAATCTAACAACATTTGTTGTATTTATTCAAGTGGTTGAGCGTCAACCGCCAGCATCAATAAGACAAGATTCTAGTTTTTTCAATATTGTAAATATTTTTTATTTCACTAATAGAAAGTCTGGTATCTCCAGGATTTTTACAACAGCGGAGACCATGAACATCTTCATTATTTTCATCAACAATAAATTATAGAAGGAAAAAAATAATAATTTAAAAAGATTACCAAAAGCCGGCAGCCTAACTGCACAGCATGGGTGCTCCAAATACCAAAGTATCTATATGTGAATATGTCTATGTGTATTCTAAACCTCTTCATTACAAAATGAATAGAAATTCAAGGAGAATCCTTGAAAAGAAAAGACTCAGAAATACTTTGGAATCAGAAGCAAACAAATCAATAAATTTTGATAGTGATGTCATATTCAATGTGTTGTCTCAAGGTGGACATTTTACAATATCCACATACATTGAACTAGATGTATTTGCTGATTCCCACCTTGTTTCAATTCAGTTCCAACCAATCATGACAAAACTTATAGGAAACCACATTAATAGCCACAATGGTCTGGAAATTAGGAATATTCTGGAAACTTCAATAGCAAAAACTAGAACTATTAGGAAATTTGTTTGGAACTCTGTTAAACATCATAAGTTAATTAGTGACGTAATAAAATGCATTGTTGATAGGCACAACTTAATGTTGTCAACACATCATTAAACTTAAGTTGAAATTCTGATTGTAAAGTGTTTCATTGTTTCCCTAACTTAATGCTTTTGCTGTAGAATTTCCACTTTGGACCAATTGTACAACCCCCAAAATGAGTGCCAAAGATCAAAGCAAAATCTAAAAAGGTAATATTGTTAAATTTGTAACATTAGAAATGTAAACTTTAAAATAAAGTTTTATAATTTCAAGCAGATGAAGCCATATGGGAACAACCTTTAATGACAACATTCAACATGGTAATGTTAAAAAACTCCACAATATCCAGAGACTAGAAAGTAGATAATTGGTAATCAACAAGAGTGGTAACCTCATTTGTGGCTACCCTATAAATTGCCACAAAACTGCATAACAAATATGCTTATAGTCGTCCAAAACTTGATCTAATAAAAAAATACACAATCATATTTTTTATTGCGGAAACACCTAATCTATCAAGTCCATCCTAAGACATATCAAAGCCTTCTTAGAGAAATATAAATAGAATAGAGGGTAATAAGGTCACAAACTTGTTTATCCCTTTTAGGGCCTGTGAGATAAGCCTCTAGAATTTTGTTTGCCGGTTAGATCAGAACTGAATTTAAAATTTCTAAAACCAATGCATGGAGAAGCAGTTTTAGATCAGCTGCTGGTTCAAGTTGATTGGACACTTGTCCATGAAATTTAGAACAAAATAACTAATTGATAATAAAATTCTATTTATATGAATATGATATTTAGACCCTACATAACTTTAATTATAAGAGTGTAGTTATTTTTTTATTAAAATATTTTAATTATGCAGAATTATCTGAAACAGATATCAAGCAGGTCTTCCTAGCATAGAAAATAACACATAACTATATTGCAACAAAACATTATGTTAAAATAAAACACAGCATTGCAGAAAAACTATTGCTAAGACAAAAGAAACTCGACAACTATGACAACCACCAATGCACACTCTTGGTAACACAGAAAGATTAGTTTAAAAACATAGACTCAGTAAGTTTTATCATATGTGAAAATTAAGATTACTTACAACTTGGCTTATATTAACTGTCTTTTTCAACGCATACCTGATAATTGGTGTGCAAAACAGTTATTACATTTGATACTTGATTATAAATGAAGTGAAGAAGCCCATCGCAACACAAACTAGGAGAGAAAAGATGCTAGATCTAATACAAGACGACTTTATAACAACAATAATCGAAGAAAATTGAAATAGACCTCACAGTCCAAAAAAGAAGCACGGAGTATTACAATGGAAGAGTATACCCGATTGAGCAGGCACAGTACAAATGTCCCTAAACCAACCAATTGCAAAAACCGAATTCAACTCAAGAGCCATTTTTGGAGTTGTATTCTTCATTTAAGTATTGTCCGCAGCACCGACAATAAAAGAGAAATCATCAAGTACGTGTTGTATACGTAAACACTTATGGTAGAATTCCAAAAACGTGATTTCGTTTTGCTTGCATTTTCGTAATAATGTAGCTTTTTTAACGGAAATATAAAATTTGCCGTTAAAATGAAGCAACATGATGGCCGGTGTTGAAAAAAAAAAAGACGCCTGGCTAGTGCGTACAATCACAATTCACTACGCTGTAAACGTTAAATTAACTAGTTGAAATATAAACGTTAACGGTTATCGATTAAAACGTAGAGTAACTGCCGCGCACCCAGATTACCTTGTAACTTATTTATTTTATATCTATCTATACATATACTAAATATGGAGTGTCTGCTTGTAATATAAAAAGAAAAATTCAAGATTTCGTGAACATGATGTATTTGCGTTGCTGATACCGTAAATCGCGTTTTAAAAAAAAATGTCTGTCTGTCCGTAAGCCGCGTTTGTTCCGGGTAATCTCCGGAACGCCTAGGTTGATTTTAACGGGCTTAACACTAAAGGGTAGCTGAAATAGACGCGCAAATTATATACTACATTTTATATTGATTGTTTGATTATTGATTATCTCTAAAAGGGGGAAAACGATTTAGACGGACTGACTGAAAGGTGTTTTTTTTTTTATTATTTGTTAAGCTAGCGCTTGACCACGATCCCACCTGAAGGAGGTGACGATGCAGTCGAAAGATGGTACGAGCTCGCTTATTAGGTAGCTATTCTATCTATATCTATCTATATTAGGTTTTTAAAAGGTAGATGTAAGATGAAGGTACTAAAAGTAACAGTACCGAACGGCTTTGGTTAATCGGACATTTGGCACTTTTAGTACACTACACGATATCGATGTTCGCTTGTTCGTTGTTTGATTTGATTATATATTTGCCAGATTGAAGCATCCACCTTCGGTAATAAGAATCAAAAGTGGATAAAATTAATTACAACTTAAATTTATTTTCGCTAATAACATTTGTTTCAATCTGCTTAAAATTTGACGTTGAGTAATATAAAACCCTCGTTATATTCTATTCGTGTTATTGAGTTCTCACAAATCTGAAGTACTAAAGGTACTAAAAGTGTGTACTAGTATGTTTTCAAAATTGTACTAGTACGGTGCGCACTTGCAGATGTCCGAATAAGCCCAACACTAGTACGAACTAACTGGCCCGTTCAAAAATATTTAAAGAACGTTACGACAAATACATTCAGATACAGTTAAATAGTTTTTCGTTTTTTTAAGTAGTGACACGGTCCTGAAACACACTGCTTCTTTACATGGTCGGTTAAAAATTTTCATTGGCAACACTGCTGCTGACAATCAGTGTTTCCAATGCTGGTTATGGCAGTTATGGTCTAAGGTCTACAGAATCTATAGCTTTTCGGAAAACCAACGGTAATTCATTGTTCCTCTTTAATTAACTCTAGTGATGGTCAACTCGAGTTCGTAATTCGAGTCAACTCGAGTTAGGCGTAACTCGAGTCGACTCGAGTTGAATTCTCTTTACTCGAGTTCGAAAACGGAATGAAACCGACATGGACCGAAGTTTGACCTCTGTGAAGTTAGCCCCCTCACTTTCTTTTTTTTTACTTTTTTTATGTAAATCGTTTAAAAATTGTTGAAAAATGTTTCTATTTCAAACAATAACTTTTTTTGTTTCTTTATTTAGTAGGTATAATTCTCCCAATACATTATAAATAAATAATATCAAAAATAAAGAACTGAAACAGATAAAAATGTAATATGTCTATTCCAATGTTATGCCAAGCCGAGGGAATAATTTGGAAAAACACAAAAAAAAAACATTTACTTGTCCATCCAATTAACTCGAGTTCAACTCGAGTTATGTGGATTTTAACTCGAGTTAAATCGAGTTACGTTTATCCCGAGTTGGCACATCACTAATTAACTCATTTTAAAGTATCTTTTAAATGAAAAATAAAAAGTTTGATCAAAATGGTTGATTTACAATGATTTCTGTCGGGAATAATAAAATTTAAAAAAAAAATGTTTACGATTTTATAGACCAAAAAGGTCAATTTCAACACAGTTCATTGCTATTATAAAAGTTAAAAGGAACATTTAACTTATGTTGAGAAGTTTTCCTTTTTTACTAGTGCTACGGCCCAAGTATGATCTTTTCCCACAGAAACACGGCTTTTTTTATACGATGTACCCTTGTAAGCCGGGTAAAATCTTTTCATTGGCAACACTGCTGTCAACTATCAAGGTGTTCGCCGTCAATAAATCTCTTTCACATTGTGAATTTCACAATCACAATCACGTATCCACTTTCAAAATAATTACGGCATTTACAAGAGAGGTTTATACAAAATCCTCGTCGAATTTTATTTAAGAAATCTATGTTGTCACCATTGTGTTACTCTTCGTTTCCGTTAGAGGTTAGAGTAATTTGTTCTGACGTTCATTTTACGTTATTGCGACAGTTAATAGATTGTGGTTTTACTCTAAAGGTATAGCTGTTAGGAGTGAATATGGCTTGTGTTGTTCCTAACATAAAAGTGTTACAAATTGGTATTGGATAGAACAAATACAAAAACATTTTAAGTAATCCGCATGGTTCTCTTGCTCGGTACAATGTCACAAAAGAAGACATCTTGTGTTGTCGAGTTTCGGTAGTTGAAGCAAAATTCTATACTTCTTTCCATTCAACCCGTTTTTAAAATAGAAATAACAGGAAGAGGAAATAAATTGTGATGTAGTGTATGTAAAAGGGTTCACCTCTGTGTTTCATATGTGAGCAGTGGTTGCTTTACTATTTTATGTAATTTATATGACCGTTTGTGATTATCTTTATTTTATATGGTGTGTGACATTTTACTAAATATCTTGTACATTATAAATAAGAAAGATTAGAATGGTGTTTGTTAGTATGTGTCTCCAGAACGGCTTCATAAAGGATCACAGATGTTGAATAACAATCAACTCTGTGTGTAATTTGGTTGAAGGTCTCATGCTGGAATTTATCATTGTTCGAAGGATTAATGAGTTTTTCTTAATTTCTATCTACAAAATACACTACATTTTTATGAATTCTTTAAGAAAGGATGGAATTGAGCAGTGGAGAAATATAAAATAAAAACTTTTTTTATAAAACACCTAATAGAGAAGGTAGTCGGCTGAGATTTCAATTTTTTGTGGTAATAGTCGGTTTTTCAACATACTTATTAAATGGACAGGCTATTTATGTTGGCATTTTGTGTCTATTTTCGCCATTTTGGCGCTGTATGTTGCGGTTGTAACACCAATCTCTATAAATGGACAAGCTACAAACTGGTATCTTATGAATATTTGATTTTCGCCATTTTGGCGCTGTATGTTGCGGTTGTAACACCAATCTCTATAAATGGACAAGCTACAAACTGTGGTATTTTATGAATAATTGATTTTCGCCATTTTGGCGCTGTATGTTGCGGTTGTAACACCGACCTCTATAAATGGACAAGCTACAAACTGGTATTTTATGAATATTTGATTTTCGCCATTTTGGCGCTGTATATTGCGGTTGTAACACCAACCTCTATAAATGGACAAGCTACAAACTGGTATTTTATGAATATTTGATTTTCGCCATTTTGGCGCTGTATGTTGCGGTTGCAACACCGACCTCTATAAATGGACAGGCTAGAAACTGGTATGTAATGCCTTTTCCATTCTGCCATTTGTCCAGCTTTTATATCGTCTTCTAAATCGTCATTTTTTTTGCAAAACAGATTTTATTAACTTAAATTATTATGTGGTTTTAAAAGAACTGTTTCAATATATTTTTTATGTTTCACAAATGACTTTAAAAACATGTCATTAAAAAACTGTATATTTCTTTTAACATTGCTACATTTAGCATAACCTATTCTTAAACAAACATAGCTTTCATATCGTATATACAATAACGTCTTTTTGCACAAAACGTTAAACAGAATTAACGTCCATATTGCAAGTACTTTTTTCACATAAAATTTTATAAAGCGCAGAAGCCAGAAGACACGAGATACAAGCTGTATATTCAAGATGGACATGACAATGAATTTTGAAACAAAAATCACAAAGAACATATAATTTGAAGCCAATTACGATTGCTACAATTGCCATTGCGCCTCGTGTCTTCAAATTTAGGTCGCATGACGTCAATGCTGCGTACTGTTAGGAGGGATTTCGTAAAAGTCTTAAAAAAAAGGAAATATTATTTATTAATTATAAAAATGACACACTAGATTAGATCCGTAGACCTGATCTGGAGACCCATTCACGCGTAGCGAGTTTGAAGTGTCGCGGCAGACTGCCCTGCTTACTAAATAATAGTGATGGGACTCGAGTTGCTTTTTACTCGAGTGACTCGAGTCATTTTTTTCTTACTCGGACTCGAGTGAAATTTTTGACAACCCGAGTTGCGAGTGACTCGAGTTGACTCGAATTACGAGTGACTCGTAACCATTTTGTTGGTTTATACTAAGCGGAGTAAGAAATATTTACAGCATTTTCAGTTAAATTTGTTATCTTTTTAAAAACACACTATTTCTGTTCTTTTGTAGAGTTTATTTAAGCTTCGTTTAAATTAATTTTAAAGCATGTTTATTATCAAAATTGTGTAAGAACATAATCAAACTGTTCATATTTAGATCTCATGAAAATTACTTGTAAGTATTTATTAAAATGGATTAGAACTTATTTATAGTACACTATAAAATTTCAACTAACAGATGATATAAGAGGTGTCTTGATTTAGTAGACAGGTTTAGTTTAAAGGAAAACATTATTTTTACACATTTCGTACAGATTTTTTGAGTAACTTTTAAGTTAATGCGAAAATAATTTCTTTATGTTAAATTAACATTGTTTTATTGGTTTTAAAATTTTGGTTCCTCGATTTTCATATTCCATAGTGACTCGCGTCTATAAACATCACTCGAGTCTTACCTTCACTCGAGTGGCATTCGAGTGAGAAAGTTACGAGTACCGAGTGACTCGAGTGAAAAAAAATCACTCGAGTCCCATCACTACTAAATAATAAGCCTACTTATATTATCTTTAAATGCTATGACTTAATATTAGAACTTAAACATTCTTACATGCTAGTTACAGATATAACAGTACGCAGTATTCCTTGTGGCTATGTACGTAACAAGCCCCATTTATGGGATACTGTTTTAGGAAGTGTCCTATTTTTAAAAATAAAAATCTTGCGAAAAAATCAATATCCTTTAGAACTTTGGATTGCTAAAGCAATCTTTTTCTCTAAAGTAAAACGTCTCCCTTTTTCATATTTTCACGGCATTGAATTTGCACTAATAATTTTGCAGTGCTTGAGCAATTTTCGATTACATTTAATATTGCCGGATTAGATGTAATTTTTCTGCTGACCTTGTAATAGCTGTTTTTTTAACCTTGGTCAAGATTTGATTTTATAGTTTTCTTTATTGCCCTGGCTGCCTTTTTGCCTGTAAAATAGAAAAGACAGGACAATAAGTTGGCACAAAGTGTACACTTAACTACATTACTACCCGTGTCATTTTTCGAAGCTAGTAATAAAATCACCATATCCAACTGTTCGCAATTTTCGGTTTGGAATAAAACTTTCTTGGCTTTCTGGTATAATAAGTTTATTCGGCCACTTTGTATTACAATGGTTGAAGGGACGAGAACGTCACATGACGGTAAGGAGCGGAAGCGAAAAGAGGGCGAAAATGACTCGTCATCGATGCCGGGATTGCCTAGCCGGTCTAATTTAATTGGTGGTTAACGTATGACGTCGACTGACAGACCGATCGTACATCGATGACGGGGTGCAGCAAGCGCAGCGGGACCCACCGGCGGCCGCCGACGTGTGACGTGTGTGTGCTGCACAATGGGGCGGCCGTTGACGTCACGGCCGCAACACCAACTGCTTTTACTTCATACAGTAGAAACACATCTAATGTTGAATTAGTTTTTTTACATTTTTCTGATTTCATTTTTGATCTTCACATTACCTTTGTACCCACCAATGTTTTCTTTTTTGTTTCAAATTTCATCTAAAAAAATTTAAAAATACAGCATAATGTACGCTACTAAATACCACCCACAGTTTCGCTCGCGTAGCAAACTGTGCACGAGTAAAGCTGCGAGTTCAATCAAGTTCGTGAATTCTCTTTTCAGTACCAAATCTTTCTTCTGTATAGCGCATGTCTCTCATTGTTTCAGGACTTCCAATATTTTAGTATAATTCATCAGACTCCATATCAATTCAAGGAGACCCAAAAATGCTACGGGGTTAGTTTTATGAGTGAATATAATACAGTGTCCGTGATAATTATCCCAGTAACAATGGGAGAAGCACTATTAGGGCCCAAAAACACACTAAAATACACGAAAAAGTGGAACACATGATAAAAACATTGTGACATTTTATTGTTTTCCAGGATGGCGGTCACGTACGTGCAGTTATGTGGTTCTTGATGTTGGAATAACTGCGCTATGCAATCGTCGGAGTTTTGGAGCCTTTGCCACTCTAGATGCTTGCAGATGATTTCTTTCTCCGATATATCTTCGCAGGGCTCGTGAGGATATGCGAATTCACTATTGCCGAGGACCAGGAATGGATTTTTGGGAACGAGGATTGTGTTATTATTGTTTGGGATAAAATACAGGTGTAGGAGGTTGTACGGGTGTTTAGATACTAATGGTACCTCCAGGATAAAGTTCAGAGACCCATTGGTGCTGTACGCTTTTACCGATATAGCCTTTTCCCATAAGTGTATTGTTTTAATGCTTGGGTTAAAAGCCAAATTATAATTTATTTCTGATTTAATTAAATTGAGTTCTTCGATTAAATAGTTTGGATCTAGGATACTGGGGTGCATTCTACGGAGATGAGAAAATGTTATTGCATTTTCTAGAGTTGCTAACTTATCGTAGAGCTGTTGAAGCGATCTACCCATTTCGTTTAAGATGTTTAATGACAACTGTATACTGTTTTGAGATAGAAGTTCATTGATCGATTTTTCTATATATTTTTGATTATTTTTTATTTTTAAGTTATTTTCATAATTATTCATGAACTCTTTCATAATACCAATGTTTTTATTTTGATTATGTTATATGGAATTCCGGATGGATTTAATTTCATTTTCGAATTGAATTGCATCTTCTTGATCTAAGTTACCTGTAATCGTTTTTATTACAGTATCAATCCGTTTATTAGGCCGCGTTTTTGCCTATTAGTGTATCTAAATCTTATCGTATCTAATCCTAAATATGCTATCTTACTCTCTGTTGTGTTTAAGATATTCTATTTGTTTATTTTTGGTTAATGTACCTAAAGTATTGTTACGTTTAACTTTATAAGTATAATAATTACTACATATTTCAAAGAAAATATCGCTTATTTGCGATGTATTATAAATTACAACTAAGTGATAAGTATTTATCTGGTATTGCACTTTCGCTTCTGTTAATACCAGTATTCCATTGTGACTGTCTATTGGCTGTAAGATTGCTGTGGCTGCGGCGAGTCCGAAGACTGCGAAGCAAGCGATGGCGTTCCTGAAACATTTTCAGGTCTTCTTAGTAAACGGAAATGTACACTAATGGTTTTCGTGTTTACATGTTTGCCTACAATTTCTGCGATTTGTTCTGGGTGTATGCGAACTATCGTATACGGACCTAGGTATTTCGGTTCTAATTTATTACTTCTTGCTGTTTTTGCCACTTGCTTATAGACTTGTGCCAACTTTGAACGTTGCCTGTTCTGTGTTTTTATTAGCTCTTTCGATGTTTTATTGCTTTTCGTTCGTCATTTTTGTATTAACCAGTTTTTGTACGTTTTCCATTATTTGCCTATGTTTTGTAACATACTCTTGATAGAATTCTCTACGGCAATATAGTTCTAATGGGTTTCTACTTTTGGTGTGTCTTTATAATAGTTCAAATGGAGTGAATCCTGTCGCTGAATGTATTGAGTTATTGTACGCTATTATTTCGTATTTCATTAAATTAAACGATTCGTTTTTATCCGTTATCCTTTGTATTCTAATGAATTCTGCCAAAGTGGAATGTAAGCTTTCTATTGGTGAGTTTGAATTGGGGTTGTAAAATGAATGTTTATGTTATGCATTGCGCATATTTCCGTGATGACTTCATTGTCAAATTTTGAGTCTGAGTCCGTAGTTATTTTATTTGGAACTCCTATTACTGAAAATATACTCAATAAGGCTTCTGCTATATGTATGCTCGTTGTTGCTGTCAGTGGTATAGCTTGAGCATATTTGGTGAAGTTATCAATTACCGTAAGAAATGTAATTCCTCCGCTACTATATAAATCCATTAATATGTGTTCATTGTCTAGCTATCGCGATTGCTTTATCTAAGTTTTCTGATTTTAATTGTTTCACTAAAATTGATGTTATTGGGTTTATTTTATCCAGGAATGTATTTAAACCCATTTGTTCATAGTAATTACGTTTAGAGTTGTCCGCTAAATTAAGTGAACTCGTTATTTTTCTGATCTTTTCCGAGAATAATTCCAAGGATTGGCTATCCCTATTAATGGGCATGAGCTCTTGGACTAATTGAAATTCATTTCTGAATTCGCCGAATCTTTAGGATTGTTTTAATTTCTTCCCAGGTAGACGCGCTACCAATATCTGAGATGGCTTCCGCAGCTCTACCCGTTATCTTGGTCCTTATTAAACTTACTAGACAAGGATCGTCCTTGCAAGTAATTGGTTTCAGTAAATTTTCTACACCTTCGATATAAAATGCCCAGGTGCGTTTGTTCCCGTCATACGGAGGGAATAAAATTGATAGAGTCGCATAATCGATCTCTTTTATGAATTGTTTATCGTCAGTTACTTTTTCATTACCTGTGGCCATTTTAACCTAACAAAATAAGAATAAGCACCAACGAATCAACTAAACCCCACACAAGAAATACGCAAAGTTGTTAATATTCTGTAGGAGTGGTAAAATAGGAAACTCGGGAATAGTAAATTATATACTCACCCCACGAGCATTGCCGATTGAAGGCTAAAGATGGTATTCTTGAGTCGCACGCTGTCTGATGCCACGCCAACCGTAGATTCTGCTCGCGCCTTTGACCGGAACGGAGTAAAATCTTCAGATGCTTCTGCTATAATTTACTCGAACCGACTTAGAACGCGAGGTACCGACTGCGCCAGATAGGTTGTGGGCGAAGGCAAAAGCCTTTTTAAAAAGCAAAGACAGGTGTTCACGCTGTGATGCGTGGTTTGAGGCTAACGTTTATTTAATTAAAACATATAAGGATGATTACACAAATAAAGAGTTCTTATTATTATCTTATCTCTAACTATTAAGGAAGTTGATACAATGCTTCATTCAATGAATCTTAAATGTGATACTCTTGTGAATGTTTCCTTGTCTGCATGTAGGTTATGCCTACATGACTACAGTTCTAACTTTTTATTACATATATAGGTTGACAAATTAATGATCACTAAAAGGTTCTTGTTATAAAAAAATAAAAAAAACCCCGCAAAATTTTGAAACGAACATTTTACAACTATCAAATATATAATTTATTAGACAACTTATTTAATTGATACTGTCGCTTTTAACTCAGAGCAATACTTCTCGTCAAGACTCAAGTTACGCGCCAATCTATCCATCCTTCTAGTGACATTGACAGCTGTCAGCTAGGGACGTGACGTTTATGCCGATAATATAGAGTTGCGCCAATTCTATAGCACGGTACTAATTTTATTCCTAACAAATTATAAAAAAACAACACAAAAATTAATTAGACATAAGCAATATACACACGTTTAAATAAAGTATCATTACATATTAAAGTTAAATAGAAGATATATTTCCTATTGTGCGACCGAACTCGCCCGAATCAGAACTCGCTTCATAAATCACGACTTCGAAGCCGAACACGCCCGAATAACGTAGTTACAAAAATCACTACCTATAATTTGACTCGAAACTAGTTATTCCGTTACATATCTCGTCACTGGTGATTGTAGCTAGTGACGTAAAATAACGCTCACGTCTAGTCACTAGACTCAAGTGCAATAATTATTTAAACATGAACAGAAAACGCGAGCGTAACGTAAATTTCACTCGAGAGGAGACTGAAAAGCTTGTTTCTCTTATAGAAACGGAAAAAGCTGTAATTGAAATGAAAAAAAGTGATTCGTCGACTTGGCAACTGAAAGAAAATGCTTGGAACGATATAGCCACAAAGTTTAATAGTGATTCCCCTGTGTACAGAGATGCGAAACATCTCAAATTGAAATATGAAGCCCTAAAAAGAGACGTTCGTAAAAAATGGAAAGGTCTCCACTCGAAGCAGCACAAAAGTGGTGAAGGTTTGTTGACGGCTATGACACCGATCGAGTTAAAAATCAGAGACTTGATTTTATCTGTCGATCAGAGCGATAGTACACCCAACTTCGACCTCTTAGGTAAATATAAATCAATATTGTTTTCTATATTTTATAACCTCTTATTTATATTCCTATAAAACTACTTAACAGATTTGAAAAAAACAATTGGAATGCTACTGACAAGACATGAGGTGAATTCCCAGATAGATATAGTCGGGGTGGATTATTAACTAAATGTATTTGTAATTGTAGTGTTAACTGGAGACGAGGAGGTTGATGAATCTGTTACATCTGAGTATTCAATCCAATCTGATAATTTGGAGGTACAAATAAATGAAAATGAAGCAGATGACTGTAAGTACATAAAAATAATTTCTAATTGTAATGTTAAAGTAGGCACCATTTTGGTATTGTATGTAGGACGGTGATGATCACAGCATATTTGAATATTTGCTTTTTTTAATTATATGCCTACACTTAATACATGCTCCAAGCTAAAAGTTGACACCATTAAGTGCATTCAGGCTGCTTGTTCAATTGCCACCTATGTAAAAACAAAAGCTGCAATGTTGGCAATAGTTTATAGGTGATGAATTACAAGTAACAAGTATATAACACAAGCTAGCCTGTGCGACTTCATCCGCATAAAATTATGAAATTTTTTTATTGTTTATATGTGTCAAATTATTAATTGTAAATTGTCAAATTGACATGACAATGACAAACCTTGCTTCCTTGCAGTTGGCAGCAACTTATGGTCTCTTTCCCACATTAGGGTTTTTATCCAAAATATTTACCCCCTAAGTTTAATAGTGTTAAAATATATAGCCTAAAGTGACATAAGTGTAAGGCTTTTTATTAAAAAAGATTCATTCAAAAATATGCTGTAATTGCTAACATCATTTTAAGCATCAAGTTATGATAATATTTTAATAGTTTAATTGTGAGTGAACACCAAAATACTTTATTTAAAATCGGTATTTGAAAGTTATCCAGAATGTCATCATCACCAGCTCACTATACGCCCCACCGAGGGGCTCGGAGCCTACCCTAAAGTTAGGGTGATTAGGCCATAGTCAACCATGCTGGCCAAGTGCGGGTTGGTTGACTTAACATATATCTTTGAATTTCTTCGCTGAGTGCAGGTTGCATCACGATGTTTTCCTTCAGCGTAAGAATCCAGAATGTAAACAATAAGATAATTTTATAATGTCGTTCAGATTGTAAAAACATATTAATTTGCAGGTAAACCAAGTAAAATACCTTGTGACAAATTAGATGAAGGGAAACTAGATATACTAGAATTACAAAAGAAAGTATTGCAAGCTGAACTAGAAGAGAAAGTTATGAAAAAGCAAATGTTAAAGAATGAAATGTTGCATAAAAATGAAATGTATTTGTTGGAGAAAGAAAAATTACTACTCCAGATAGATATATTGAGAACAGATTTAAAAAAAAGACATTTCCAAAGTAAACATATAATTTAATTATTATTTCTTTTAGTACTAAAGCTAACTTGTTTTTAATTTTAGTTGTTTATTAGGTTTCTATCAATTCCCCTGTTCTGGTTGGTGTACAAGCTGGTTGGTTCGCTATTTTAGTGAATTCCGATGCTTTGCTCGTTTGTCACCTTATACTATGGTATATGATATTGAAGTATAAGTCACTAGCAGATGTATATTTACAAACTATAAACATTTACAGTGGTAGTGCCCGCTTTAACATCTTAGCACGAATGGGCCTTTGTCTTTACCACCCTTTTCTTATGAGAGGATGGGAATGGGAAGTGGATTTGACGATGGAGGAGATGCATAGGAAGAGGAAATATCCTCTTTATGTGCGTCTCCTCCGTCAGATAAGGGTAGGCGACGCATCTGTTATTGCGGATGTCTATGGGCAGCGGTTGCTTCGCCATTTTGCCGGATTCAGTTGGCCGCTTGCTCGTTTGCCATCTTATGTTATAAAAAAAAATTTACAAGCATTCTGTTACAAAAATACATTAATTAATCTAGTTTTTTAACCTATGGTGTATGAATGTTTCTGAAGGTTCATACAATTGGTCCATACATGGAAAAAATCTTATATTATAAATGTGAAGTTTATGTGGATAGAGATTTGGTAGTTTGTAATCTAAACTACTGAATGGAACTCGATGGCATTTGGCAGTGTAGAATATATAGAAGAACACAGACTAGTTACAGTTTTTTTTATTTGGTTGTACTGTGTTAGGACCGAAGCTAGTAATGAATAATATTGCTCTTTTTTTTTTCTTTTGGCTAAGTTTTAATGCTGATATATAGATCTCAACTTGTTTTTATCCCTTACGGAGGGTTGGCACAGTGTGTGCTGCTCCGTACATCTATCAGCCGTCATATCTGACACCACTCCTTAAGCATATCCTCTTTCACACAATCCATACTTCCTCGGTCTTCCCCTTTGTAGCCATCCATTATATTTGATTTATACAAGGGTCTGTGATAGTTGAAATACAGATGTCATATGTTTTTATTGATGTTGGTGGTGCAAGCTAAAATAAGTGTTAGTACTTTGTGATGGTAGTTTTATGTGAAGACTAAATATAAACTAGAGATTGAAGGTGAACATATAGTTTGTGGATTTTATATTATTTGCTGAAACTAATATTAAATGAGGAGAAATTATATTTTTCTAACAATTGTGTTTCACACACATATCTTAAGAAAGTTACCAAATATGGATGTACACTTCACCCAATCCCATGTAGGAAAATAGCCAGGGAATACAG